TGTACAGACGTGGTCTCACTATTTGCTAAGGCTGGTACTGAACTTTGGCTTTAAGTGATCTGCCCACCTTGGCATCCCAAAGCGCTGGGATTACAGGGGTGAGCCACCATGCCTGGCCCTCTTTTTAAAAATATAGGTTTGGGCCGGGCGCGGTGGCTCAAGCCTGTAATCCCAGCACTTTGGGAGGCCAAGGCGGGTGGATCAAGAGGTCAAGAGCTCAAGACCATCCTGGTCAACATGGTGAAACCCCGTCTCTACTAAAAATACAAAAAATTAGCTGGGCATGGTGGTGCGTGCCTATAATCCCAGCTACTGAGGAGGCTGAGGCAGGAGAATTGCCTGAACCCGGAGGCGGAGGTTGCGGTGAGCCAAGATCGTGCCATTGCACTCCAGCCTGGGTAACATGAGTGAAACTCCGTCTCAAAAAAAAAATAAAAATAAAAATATAGGTTTGACATTGTGATATATGTATTTGGTTTTCCTCCCTGTTTCCTGACACATAGCTCGTAAAACCCTTGCTGGAATTACCAAAGTGGTAAGAGTATCTCGTATTGCTAATGAGATGACTACTGACTGGGGGCTCCTATAAAGTGTCAGGATGGGAACTGGTCAACCTTCAGCCAGCCCTCTTTCTTCCCAGATCACAGCCTCTGGGGAGGGGAGAGGGCTGGCTAAAGGCTGAGTTGATCACCAATGGCCAATTATTTAATCAATCATGGCCAAGTAATGACGCTTCCATAAAAACACAAAAAAACAGGGCTCAGGAGAGCTTCTGGACAGCTGAACACATGGAGGTTCCTGGAGCATGGCACGCCTAGAAAGAGCATGGAAACCCCTTCTCTGCTGGCCCTACACATCTCTTCTATCTAGCTGTTCATCTGTATCTTTTGTAACATCTTTCATAATAAATGGGTAGAGATAAGTAAGTATTTCCCTGAATTCTATGAGCTGCTCTAGCAAATTAATCAAACCCAAGGGGAGGGAGATTGTAGGAACCCTGGTTTACAGTCAGAGGTATAGATGACAATCTATTACTTTTGATTGATATCCAAAGTGGGGGGCAGTCTTGTGTGACTGAGCTCTCAACTTGTAGGGTCTGATGCTACCTCCAGATAGTATCAGAACTGAATCAAATTATAGGACATTCATCTGGTATCCACTGTATAAATGATCATTTGCTTGGTGTGTGAGGGACAGTCCCCATGTTTGGTCACAGAAGCATTCTGTGTGGTGAGAGTACAGGAGAAAAAAGGGAGTTTGTTTTACAATATTCTTACAACAGGAGACTTATTAAAGAAGCAACTCTAGGTATCAGTATGATCCTCACTTTGTTAAACATTGAAATCAAAACTGTATATATATATTTAAATTTACATAGAAATTACCTGAAAAAGGCTGGGCATGGTGGCTCATGCCTATAATTCCAGCACTTTGGGAGGACAAGGCAGGTGGATCACTTGAGGTCAGGAGTTTGAGACCAGCCTGGCCAACCTGGTGAAACCACATCTCTACTAAAAATATAAAAATTATCTGGGTGCCTGCAATCCCAGCTATTTGGAATGCTGAGGCAGGAAAACTGCTTGAACCCAGGAGACAAAGGTTGCAGTAAGCCACTATCATGCCATTGCACTCCAGCATGGGCAACAGAGCAAGACTTTGCATCCCCCCGACCCCGAAAAAAGAAAACTACCTGAAAACTACAAACTCAACTTTTGATAAAGGGGCAGTAGAACTTTATGCAACAACCTGAGAAGGAAGATCAGGAAGAGCATGGTACAGTACACAGACCTATAATATGCAGTATCTATTATAAAGCTACCAGGAAATATCTAGACAGACATATGTATGTAATGCAATATGCAAAATACAAGTTATCTCTAAAGTTAGGCTAAAGGCGTACCAATTCTTTGATATCTTTTTCAAACAATGTGAATTATTTTTTAATTTTTAAAAGTTCCAATTCTCGCCAGGTGCACTGGCTCAGGCCTGTAATCCCAGCACTTGGGGACGCCAAGGCGGGCTGATCATGAGGTCAGGAGTTCGAGACCAGCCAGCCTGACCAACATGGTGAAACCCCATCTCTACTAAAAATACAAAAATAAGCTGGGTATGGTGACACGCGCCTGTAATCCTAGCTACTTGGGAGGCTGAGGCAGGAGAATCACTTGAACCCAGGAGGTGGAGGTTGCAGTGA